GAGTGAAACGTATCTAACTTCAGAATACCAGGTGTTATGATTATAGCTCTGTAAAAATGTGCACACAAGTGTACTAGGGCTGGAAGGTGTTGAAATAAAAATAGCTACAGTGTTTGGAAGGTGAAATACTGTGTTTTAAGTTTTTCAGCTTAGATGTCATTTTGTCTTCAATTAAATAAGTAGAAGAAAGTATATCAGTTAAAAAAGAATCTTATTCCTAAACTTCCCCACTAGACAAGGAGAGCAGGGACCCTGCCTGTCTTGTTCAAGGTTGTTTATCAAAGCACATGTCTGGCACGTGGTAGGTGCTCTGTAAGTATTTGTGGGCTGATTGACCACTGCTGTCAGCCTTTCTAAACAGGGTTTAATAAGTCACTGATAAAGGCCTCCTGCTTTTGCCAAGATGCCTTTACCAGCACCTTCACAGTCTCCAAAAGTAAAAACAGCTTCCTTTACAGGCAGCTTTTCAAAACCCCACATCATCTCTCCCCCAGAGTTGCACTGGCAGAAGGAGGACATCACTTTAAAGCCACCACCGACACCAGGGCCAGTCTAGGTGGGAAGAACCTTCCTTTTCTTTGGCAGCTTCACCCTTGGGGCAGATCCTCACAGGGACACAAGGGGGAGCAGCTTGATCCCCAAAGTCATCTGGACACTAACTCTTTACACCAGGAGGTGGCAGCCTACGCGCTTCCTTACGGCGAAGGGCCCTTTGACAGTTCATCGTTCAGAGTCCGCCCATGGTGAGGGCGTGACAAGGGTGGCCAGGCCTCAGGCCAAAGTCAGGAACAGATGGAGGCAATCAGTGCCTGCTGTGCCTGGTGCTGTGAGAGATGGCATCTCCCCCATTTTACACTTGGGGAAACCAAGGCCCGGACAAGCTAAGAGACTGCCAAGTCCCCAACCCCTAGTAGAGTAACATTGCCCAGAGCTGAGCCCAGCTCTCCTTACTCCAGTGCCCACCCTCTTTCCATTACACCATGTGCCTTCCGGTCCCCTGGCAACAGTAGTCTGAAAAAGTAGGCAAGGATGTTTCTAAACCTTTGGTTAAATGCTATTCATTCATTCATTCATTTATTATTGTTGTTGAAAGTCTGCTTGTTTCCCAATTTTAATTCTAATCAATTGCAAGAACTTCTTAACCAGAAATATAGTTCCTGCACTAAGGAAGGGAATTTCTGCATAATGATGCCTAATGATTATTAATTTCCACCATTTATACTTGTCAGGAGTAACCAACAAATAGGCTTTCATTTTTTGAAGTTTTGTGAACAAGTCTACAGTACAATTTCTGCTAAGTTAAATGCTTTTTGTTTATTTATTTTTGGCTGTGTTGGGTCTTCGTTGCTGCACACGGGCCTTCTCTAGTTGCAGCAAGCGGGGGCTACTCTTCGTTGTGGTGCGCGGGCTTCTCATTTTGGTGGCTTCTCTTGTTGCAGAGCACGGGCTCTAGGCACGCGGGCTTCAGTAGTTGTGGCACACGAGCTCCATAGTTGTGGCGCACGGGCTTAGTTGCTCCGCGGCATGTGGGATCTTCCCGGACCAGGGCTCGAACCCATGTCTCCTGCATTGGCAGGCAGATTCTTAACCACTGTGCCACCAGGGAAGTCCCTTAAATGCTTTTCAAATCACCATGCAAATTATCAAATTGATCCTACCCTTTGACCTTGAAATACCACTTTGGGAAATGTGTTCCAAGGAAACAAAAATATGCAATATATATTTATAAATATATACATTTTATGTATTTTGAAATATAAAAAAATAAAACAAAGGTGCATACAGAGACGTTTAGATCTCAGCTTCATATTGCATTTAAAACTGGAAGTGGCCCAAATGCCTGACCACGGGCAGAAGCTGGGAGGATCTTGCTGTAGTCATTACACTGACACTGAGAATGGTCATTGTGAAGATTGGAGCCGATGTCCAGCACATCACACGGGCACTATCATACTGGACATTAAAATAGAAAAAGCAATAAAAGCAAAAATAAACAAGTGGGACTGTATCAAACTAAAATGCTTCTGCACAGCAAAGGAAACAGTCAACAAAATGAAAAGGCAACCTACTGAATGGCAGACAATATTTGCAAATCACATATCTGATAAGGGGTTAGTATCCGGAATATTTAAAGAACTCGTACAACTTAATAGAAAAATGCAAACAATCTGATTTTAAAATGGGCAGATATGAGTAGACATTTTTCCAAAGAAGACATATGGGTGGCCAATGAAAAGATGCTTCACATCACTAATCACTGGGGAAATCAAAATCAAAATCAAAATGAGATATCACCTCACACCTATCAGAATGGCTGTTATTAAAAAGACAAGAAATAAGTATTGGTGAGGATGTGGAAAAAAGGGAGCTCTTGTGGACTGTTGGTGGGAATGTAAATTGATACAGCCTCTATGGAGAACAGTCTGGAGGTTCCTTAAAAAACTAAAAATAGAACTACCATATGATCCAACAATTCTACTTCTGCGTATATATCCAAAGAAAATGAAAACACTAAGTTGATAAGATATTTGCACCTCCATGTTTATTGCATTACTTATAGTAGTCAGGACATGGAAATGACCCAAATATCCATTGATGGATGAATGAATAAAGAAGATGCAATATATATATATATATAATGGACTGTTATTCAGCCATAGAAAATGAAATCTTGGCATTTAGGACAACATGGGTATAGGACAACATGGATGGACCTTGAGGACATTATGCTAAGTGAAATAAATCAGACAAAGACAAATACCACGTGATCTCATATGTGGAATCTAAAGAACAAAAACAAAAAACCCAAGCTTATAGACGCAGAGAACAGATTGGTGGTTGCCAGAGGTGGGAGTTGGGGGCGGTGGGCAAAATGAGTGCGGGGGGTCAAAAGGTACAAACTTCCAGCTATAAAATAAGTCACCAGGATGTAACACATGGCATGGTGACTGTAGTTGCTAACACTGTCTTGCATACTTGAAAGTTGCTAAGAGAGTAGATCTTAAAAGTTCTTATCACAAGACAAAAAAAAAAAAGATAAAACTAGTAACTAAGTAAGGTAACACATGTTAACTAGACTTATCATGGTGATCATTTCACAATGTATACAAATATCGAATCATATTGTACACATAAAACTAATGTTATAGATCAATTATACCTCAATAAAAAATAAATTTTAAAAAATTCTTAAATAATTCCATATCAGTTGGCAAATAGTAGGGACTGAGTGTCCCCCCCAGCCTCCCTGACCCCTCCACTAGGGTCTTCCTAGATCTCCCCATCCATCAACTAAATGTGATTGCCTGGTGCAGAAGGACCCTCCAGGACCCTACACTGTGCAGTGGTCAGTACACATCCTAGAACCAGTTATTAAATATTTTTAAACCTCCCCTGGCTAAGATTCTCTACCTTTACAAAAAGGGACCTTATTTTGGAATGAGACAAGAGACACAGGGATAGATAAAGAGAGACATTATATGACTTAGTAAGGAAAATGAAGTAGAACTTGATATAATGAATACAGTTGGCCCTCCCTGTCTGTGGGTTCCAAAGTCAATTCATTTTATGTAAGAGACTTGAGCATCCTTGAATTTTGCTATCCATGGGGATGCTGGAGCCAATAACCTGTGGATCATGAGGGAGGATTCTATAAGGAATAGCAATGACACAAACTTGTATTTGCATAAACAAGACAAGAGTCTGTAAGTATTCTGTAAATGAGGGAAACACCCTTTCCCCCTCTTTGCTTCTTTGAAGAAAATTGCAGGTTTTTTTCACTCTCCTCCTACTCTTCTGACAACGAAGTAGTTTGGGGAAGGCTGAACCTGGAGGTGATCTGGATGGTAGCAGAGCAAATCTATATTCCCTGAGCCAGACATGGCAGCTTATCCCTCTGGCCAAGGGGTGGATTTGCATCAGCTGGCGATGTAGTTCTGGCTGGGGAGGTGGAAGGGAAGTTGGCTGGGAAGTTTATAGCAAGGCTTTCTTTTCCCATCTAAAGGGACCATGACAGGAACATCCCCTTTGTTTCCTTTGAGGATATCTTGCTTAAAACTAAAGGCAAGGGCTTCCCTGGTGGCACAGTGGTTGAGAATCTGCCTGCTAATGCAGGGGGACACAGGTTCGAGCCCTGGTCTGGGAGGATCCCACATGCCACGGAGCAGCTGGGCCTGTGAGCCACGACTGCTGAGCCTGCGTGTCTGGAGCCTGTGCTCCGCAACAAGAGAGGAGGCGACAGTGAGGGGCCCACACACCGCGATGAAAAGTGGCCCCCGCTCGCCGCAACTAGAGAAAGCCCTCGCACGGAAATGAAGACCCAACACAGCCAAAAATAAATAAATAAATTTATTTTAAAAAAAAGAACTAAAGGCAAACATCTGGCATCCCCAAAGGGAAAGCTAAGGGAATTTCAGAGAATAAAAATCTTAGCCATGACATCTTTGAACTGCTGAATGAATCAACCCTGAAGGTGCTCTACTACTAGCTTTCTTGTTGTTGTTCAAGCACTTTAGCTGGATTTGCTGGTATTTGCAGAGTCCCACTAGAATGTAGGCTATTTGTATACTACTGTATCTGTATGATCTATGACACTGCCTGGTACATAGCAGACCCACCATAAATATTTGCTGAAGGGATAAATGAATAAAAAGCATCCTCATTGATGTAGGAGGGTATTCAGTTTTCCAATGGTCTTGGTGTTAGATTTTTCTGTTTAAGTTTAAAAAAATATCCAGTCATGTTGTTGACCATCTATTGTCTCCAGTGCCTAAATGTTATGGGAAGAGGAAGACCTGGATTTGAATCTGGATCTGCTACTTACCAGTCAAGTGTCCTCAGGCAAATTCTTCATCTTCTCTGAACACAACTGTAAAATGAGCACAACTACTAAATTATAGGGTTGCTGTGAGGCTTAGATGAGAAGTGGCCACAGAGCTGGGCACATGGGAGGGGATCAGTTGGTGTGTGCTTCTCACTTCCCTATATCTCCATATCCTCAGGTACCAGCTGCCACGAAGGCTGAGTTCCTCCTTGACCTTGAGAAGGGCCTCATGGGCCAGGGGAGGAGTCAGACATATCAACAAATCAACCAACTGACCGATGTTAACATCGCCAGAAATGGGACAAAGTGACATCATACAGCTCCTGATATGATACCCTGAGATGAACCCAGCATCACCTCTGGCTACCCTGGCCAAGTCTGCACAGCATGAACCCAAGGTAAGGAAATATCAGACAAACCTAAAATGAGGTACTTTCCACAAAATAACTGGCCTAGATACTTCAAAAATGTCAATTGTCATGAAAGACCAAAAAAAAAGAACAGGCAACTGTTGTAGATTAAAGAATACTAAAGAATACCAAACTAAAGAAAGACCAAAAAAAAGAACAGGCAACTGTTGTAGATTAAAGAATACTAAACAGACGTAACAACTACATGCAATGATGATCTGGGAATTTTCTTTACTATTAAGGACATTATTGGGATAATTTGTGAAATCTGAATAAGATCTGTATATTAGATAATAATTAGTATCAAAGTTAATTTCCTAACTTTGATAATTATTCTCTAATTACGTAAGAGAATTTCCTTGGTTTTAGAAAACATACACATTGAAGCAGTAGAGGGGTATAATGTCTGAAAATAACTCATAAACTGTTCAGAAAAAAATAAAATTATACACCCGGGGGGGAGGGTGAGAGAGAATGAGGAGAAGGTTAAAGCAAATGTGGGAAAACATTAATATTTAGGGAATCTGGGTGAAAGATGTACAAGAATTCTTTGTCCTATGCTTGCAACTTTGCTTTAAGTTTGAAACTATGTCCAAAAAAAAAAAATTAAAAAAATTTTTGAAGCAATACTAGAGCCATGTCCTAAAGGACACTAGGAATTTGTGGGTTGGAAAAGGAGACTTCCAGGCTAAGTAAAGACTTAGGAAAGTATTCAGGAAGCCGCTAGGTGCTGGCGGGTCCATTTCATAGAAAACTGCATTTAAACAGGTTCTGGAAAGAGGTGTCAGAGTCCTCCAAGCAGACAACAGGAGGAGAGGCCCTTCAGTCAGTGGCCAGACGTATGAGAGAGCAGGGCACTAGCAGGCAGAAGTTAGGTGTGGCCGAGGGCAGTAAAGCTGGACATTCAGGTTGGGGACAAATTGCAAAGGATGAATGCCCTGCCAAGGCGTTGGGACTTTATTCTGCAAGCAGGGAGTGGAAGATAAGATCTATGTTGGAGACAGAGGGGAGGATAAATGGAGAAGAGCAGGATGGCAGCCAGGCCACAGGTGACTTGTGCAGTGTCTGGGGAGTGAAAGAAGATGCCAAAGGCCCAAATGATAGCCCTTTGGCCAAATGAGAAGGGCGATATGTACATTCCCCCCACCCCCCAACCCATGGGGAAGCAAACTGGCACACCAGTTTTGGTGCTCTGATTCCTGTTTGCTCTGCATTGCAGAGGCCACAGGACATTTGACTCTCCAGCATGGGCAAGCCCCCAGCAGGCTTAGTGGGTGGAGCAGACACTGACGCGTACAGCAGGGGATGGAGGGCCACTAGCCATCTCATAGTGGAAGGCCTTTGCTAAATTCAGAAAACCACCTCCGTTCCCTGTCCTGGCCAGCGTGGTCTCTTCCCGTCCCTTCAGTGCCTGATTTCCCAAGATTCCAGTGGGCTGCCCAAGTGACTGTTATGGCCGGTTCTGCCCTGTTTCCACCCCAGGAGGCTAAAGGCCTGGCCACAAATTCAGTTCCTTTTATTGCACAACAGTTGGGCATTTTCGAATCAAATTGAGCCAATCCATTCATTCAACATTCAACAAATATTTGCCGGGTGCTACTGTGTGCTTAAGGGACTTATCTAAGTGGAAAGGGGAAGTGGGTAGGGCGGGAACATGGCTGGGTTATATTGTAACGAGAGTGGTTTTTCCCCTTGGCGTTTCATTTGGTATATCCGAATTAGGTATTTGTTTCTCATCAAATTTGAAAGGAATTGCTGTCTTTAAGTCACTCCTAGCCTAATGAGGATGCAGCCCAGCAACAAGTGGCAGCAAGGGGCATTCTGAGCAGCGTAGTAAACACTCACGGAGCAGGATGATCCCCGTGTGGCCTGACTCATGCCAGGGCCTCTTCGTAGTCAGGGTGGTTCTGATGACAGTGATGATGATGGTGAGCAGCTCCTATGTGCCAGGCACTCTGCTAAATGCTTTCTGCACGTTCTCTCCAAACCTAACCACTTAATCCTGAGAGGTAGATATTTTATGCTTGAGCAAACTGGTTCAGAGAGATTGATGGATTTGTCCAAGGCCACACAGCCACTTAGGGGCAGAGTCTGGATCTGAACTCAGACCTTCTTGTCTCTAAAGGTGACGACCATTCCAGTGTTGCGCCACTTCCCACCGCTTCGAAATGGGAAGGAAGTTTCAGGTAAATGACTAAAAGCATCCCCCAAGGCGACGGTTCTCAAACCTTAGCAAGAATCAGCGACACCCAGGGGGCTTATTAGAACACAGATGGCTGAGTCCGTGTTGAGGTGTCTGAGGTGGGGCCTGCTGATCTGTATCGCTAACAAACCCAGGTGATGCCCACGCCGCTGGTGCTGGGATCGCTCTCAGGACCACTGCCCGTAGGGAGAGCAGCGAGTTGACTCTACTGGTCCCCCACTCCTCCCCCACCCCTCTGTTAAGTTCGGCATCTGCAAAATCTTGCCATTTCCCCCGTCTGAAGAGGAGGCCGAGGCTACTGCTGCCTCCCTTCTGCTGTCTCCCTGGGAGCCTGTGTTGGGCGGCAGGAGTGCAGAGCATCCCTGGCTGAGCCTTCTGCTCCCAGCTGCACACAGACTCATCTGCTCTCGGGTCACTGCCCTGTCTCTCTGAGCTCCACCGTCGTTCCCAGGCTTCCCGAGCTTTCGCTCACTTGTTGATTCTCTGCGAACCGACCCTGCTCTCCTCTCCTCGGTCAGGTGTGGTGTGTGAGCTCTGATCTCCTACAGCACCCTCTCCTGAGCTGCAGGGAACGTGGGACGCAGAGGTCGTCTCTGTCACCTGAGATCCTTGTTCCTCTGGGAAGATAAACTTTCTAGCAGCTTGGTAAACTTCCCAAGTTACAGTTTAACATGGGAACATGTGTTTCAAAGGCTCATGGACTTTTAGACTTGGAAAAGCCTTAGCTGAAAGGAGGAGAAGAAGGAAACGAACACTTACTGAGAATCTGCCATGTGTCAGCACAAGGCCAGAGGCTTAGTGTGTGTCACAGTATTTACTCTTCACAGTGATCCTGTGAGTTCTGGGGTGGGGTGGTGTGTGTGTGTGTGTGTGTGTGTGTGTGTGTGTGTTTTAATCTCCATGAACAGTAGAGAAAACTGAGATTCTAAGAAGTTCAGCAGCTGGTCCTGACCACACAGCTGGTTAGCAGCTGAGCCAGGATGCAACCCCAGGTCTGCCCCTGCTCTTTCCACCACCACTGACCCATCAGTTCACATCATTGGTGTTCTCTCTAACTCTGAGATAAATTTACTGGGTTTTGAGCCACACATGAGGCCCAAAGGCTGGCCTTCTAAGACAAACCCTGGGTCAGTCACGCAGTGGTCAGTGCTGGGGATGCTGCCGGGGGGTGGGAGGAGGAGGTGAGGAGAGAGGCCACGATCAAGCGCTGGGTGAGCAGGGGGAAGCTGCCAGGAGTCTGGAGGAGTTGGTAGCAACTCTCCGCCTGGGAGCAGGCGAAGGCAAACGGGATTGCAGGAGTCTCCAAAGAAGCAGCAGCAGCCAGACCCTCAGCTCAGGCCAAGCTAATGGCTGTGCTGCTCCGAAGAGCCAGGTGCCAGCCTTCCTGGTCAGGCTGTGGGCCTGTGTAAAGGCAGCTTCTGCCCGGCACATCTGTCAAGTGCCTACTTTTGTGCCCAGCATGGTGAGGTGTTGAGGCTACACTTAAAAAAAAAAATAAATAAAGCATCCTTGTCATCAGAGAGCTCACAGTTTGGGAACAGGTGCAAGCAGCTAATAAGACCCAGCCAGAAAAATATGGTTTTTAATATGGTGCTTTGTAGCTTAGAACACCTGCTCTCATATACATATGCTGTCCAGGGACCCTCACAGGGACACTGCCGCAGGGGAGAGAGGAAGGGCACTGTGCTAATCGTTCGGCCCTTCACATCCGATGCTTCGTGGACCCTCGGCACACCCCATGGGGCCCACAGAAGAGGGAGTCCTGACTGCCCCTTGGTGCGTGGGTGAGGCTTCCCAGAAGGATAGTATTCAGCTGGGCTTGGAGAGATAGATAGGAGTTCTTTATGCAGAAAAGAGAAAGAGGAGGTTACTGCACTGCCATTTCTTATACTATGATTTTGGTGTCGTAGGCACTTTTAGCCTTAGCTGCCAGGAGCAGGGCTTGAGCTGGGCCTCTCAGCCTCTTCCATTCCGATATGAAAAGCCCTAACTCTTTTATCCGTCTTCCTGTGGCAGCTCCCTTCAGGAGAGCCAGAAGGTCTAAGGTGCTGGCCTGCGCGCATCTCAGAGGCTGGTGGGTGTGCTTTCAGCTGACGAGGGCTGGCTTGGGAACAAAAGTTAAGACTGACTTTTCTCTCTCTCTCTTTGCCATCCATTTTTCTTCAATGACTGTCTTCCTAGAGTCTGTCATGTAATGACTGTGACAGGACCAGGGACACATGAGGGAGGAGCCATCAACCATGCCTGTCATCTGTCCTCGTTAAGTCCCCGAAAGAAAACGTTAGTTGTGAATCAGTGAAAAATCGAGCACGAAGCCAGCGGGGAGGAGATTTAAATGTGTCTCTTTTAACTAGTGGCGAGTGAGAAAACAAGTTCTGGATTAGAATTCGGCAGAGTGGCTTCACCCTAGGTAGCTGGGGGGCCAGGAGCTAGGAGGACACAGGGAAGGACTCTCAAGAGGATGCTGGGGCTTCCCTGGTGGCGCAGTGGTTGAGAGTCCGCCTGCCGATGCAGGGGACACGGGTTCGTGCCCCGGTCCAGGAAGATCCCACATGCCGTGGAGCGGCTGGGCCCGTGAGCCATGGCCGCTGAGCCTGCGCGTCCGGAGCCTGTGCTCCGTAGCGGGAGAGGCCACAACAGTGAGAGGCCCGCGTACCACAAAAAATAAAAAAAATATTTAAAAAAAAAGAGGATGCCGGACATTAGTTGGGTGGTTGGGAGGGGGAGGGGAGAGCCTCAGGCTGCCAAGTGGTCACCCAGCCGAGCTAGCACTGAGAAGAGCTTT